GGGAGAGAAGGGTTCAAGCTCCGATCGCTGAACCAGAAATAAAAACGGTCTGACGAAGGGAGTCTGCACACAACGAGCTGCAGACGTGGCAGCTCTCTTTTGTAACTGAATGCATCAGTCATGAGCTCGAAACCCGTTCGCAGCATGAGCCTTCGCCCGCGTATTTTAAGTCTTGCTGTGACTGTAGCATAGCTGCTATGACCGCCACAGTCTTGCCGCAAATTTTATAACTAATTTACTTCTAAAATACAGAAGGCAAAATTCCCGAATCAGAAAGATCACGGTGTAGTGATTGGCAATCTTACTTTGCCTTCGGGATGTCTCGGGTTCGAACCTCGGTCTAATACATCGGTTGTTTTGTTGACTCAGGCTTTCGTGGTCTTCCTCACTGTCTCCAAATAAATTTTTGCAATGACCACAGTCTTCTCATATCTTCCTAATTCATCATTTCTGAGAGTCCATTAATTTGAAACTGTTAAAAATAAGCAGTTGATAATGTGTCATTAAATAAAGTAGACTGTGTCTATAAATTACACATAAAACGAAACAGTCACATAAAATTCAAGATTTTACTAATGTGACCATGAAAGTTTATACATAAATTTCTCATTTGTGTTATAAATAAATAATTACACTTTATTCAAATCGCCAGCTAAATTATGTACACCCGGTATTAATTTATAAATCCATTATTACACTACAATTCTAAAATTTGAAAGGCAGTTTTCTTCATTTTTTTTAAAATTTTATGCAATAACGTCTCTCGTAGGACGTGTCAAATGTAGAACGTATCATCCCAAATTTAATTGAGAGGTTTTTATGAAATGAGGTTCTCACGGTTATCCTATTGCTCTCTCCAACACGTGTTTTATCTGTTACAATTTTAATTATATTACTATTAAAAATATATAATTAATCCACACAGATATAGTGACAGAGTATGAACAGCCTACATACGCCTACTTCTAGACATACACAGTACAGTAATGGATTACTTAGTGTTCATTAAGACACAGCCAGAGCCAGATACGAAACTATATTCAAATACTTTTCACAACTTTCCAAACACCAGCGGAGATTACCGAAGCCTCTTTTATAAAAAAATGATATACCGTTCAGCTATGGGCCATATAGCACGATTTCTTTATACACCAGGTTACAAATTACCCTCTGGCGAAGCTGTAAAACGTGATGTCTTCCCACAAGTTGTTACATTCTGTAACATGGCGAGCCGGGGTTGAGGTGGGGTGAGAGGTCCTTACCTCCTTCACACATCTTGGTAACTGTGTTCCACGTGGAGCCTATGCTCCGTCGTATAACGGTTCCCGCATGTGTACTACGTTTTTATACCTTAATCCAATGGTCTTCCCCCCCAATCACTCTTAAGCAATTTTAACAGCAGCACAGTCACTTCAAACCTTCACCAAATGTGTGTTCCGCTCTTGGACAACTTCTTAATGCATGACGTATTTGGCCCTTTCGGCTTGTTTTAATTTAAATTAGACATTGGCAGGACGTCACGAGGACAATTTCCCGGAATGTAAGACGGACAAGGCTTGAAGCTGACCATTTACCTCCATCTACAGAGTAGATTAGTACGTGGGTGGCTATACCCGAAATGCAGATGGGATAATAATATTAAATTGGTCTTTAAAACAAGGTTTGAGATAGTGAACTGAATTCGTCTGTCTTAGGACAAGAAGCCTACAAGCCTAAAATAATTGTAGATAAAACAACGCTGTGTTGGGATCCGTCCTGAAGTTTCGTCCTCAAGTGAAAGGCACACACACACATTTTCAAATAATGTACACGAATCCTAGACATTTTAAATCTTATATATAACCGTATTCTCAAAGGTTTCCATTTTTTGTTCCACTGTAAGCTGCAGTGGTAAAACGTGTCTTGCAAGACACTAACCTCTAAGCAGGAAAAGAACGATGTTATTTGAATTTCTAACGAGTTCAAATCTATTCCTCTGCTCTGACTAATGCAGAGATTCAGCTAAAGAATAAAAAGATGAGGGCTTCACAGTTGAGGTGGGACTAGCTTTGAGCTTCCAACCGAAGCGTGGGTTTGAACCAAAGACTGTTTGATATCATTAAATCATTTGAATAAGCTACAATAAAGGTCCGGATCAGGCTATTGTGTTGAATAACGGCGTGGGTTCTCATAACCGGTCTAGGGGCTTCCAATGAATGCCCTAGCCGAGCTTTGAACTGGGGACTACAGAAAAATAGTTTTATGTCGTTTGTGTCTCTCCCATTTCAGATTATGTAGCTTGCTGCTTCGGCATATGTAAACGTATTATATACATAATCTTCTAAATAATACTGCATAGTATAAAAAATAACTCTTCTCTGCTATAGGAGCCTAGATAACTCAGATAGTATAGTGACTAGCTACGGACTGGACGACTGGGGTTTGATCCCCGACGGTGGTAGACGATGTTCTCTAGCCTCTGCGTCCAGACCAGCTCTGGGGCCCATCCAGCCTCCTATCCAATGGGTACCGGGGTTACTTCCCAGTAGAAGTATTTATTATCTTCATTTAATTTTGATGTCTGAAGAAATCAGTTCAAAAGACTGTCCCGCCATCTCTTCACAAGCGTTTCAAAAATATAAGTTTTGTATTAATGTGGAGGGATTAATTAAACCTACAGCTCCTTTACCCCCGAGAAAGTAACTAATTATCCACTGGATGGGAGAACCCAGCAGTAAAACAAAATCTTGACATTACAAATATTGTAGCCAATCTTTAATATGAATCGCTTCAAAACACATCATCTTAGAGTTCAAATCAGTTTACATGATTATCCAAACCTCTCATAACATTACCAGTGGCGTATGATCTGATAATGGAGACGATAAGTTTTTATCTACCTACCAGTCCACGCACGTCACAACCCAGAAGAGTAACATCCAATTACCATGCCTTTTCTTGAAACAACATAAGAAATCATTTGTCCTTCGGTTTATAATGGAATGTGCCTAGATGAACCCGATATATTTCCTTCGTTTATTGACAGAATTTATAACTGCATTATAATATAACTTGCTTTTATATTTAGAAATATATTTCGCCAGAATCCGCGTACTACAGATTCTTCGCACGTGGCATGAGGGTACTGTTCTCGCCCCTAAAACACACTTCTGGACACTACCGGTCAAACCAGTGTGTGACACGGAAAAATTCACTTTATTCTTTTGAAGTAAGTGGGAGATGCACTTTTACCTCGTCCCGACGCACTCAAACACACCACTTCCGAATACAAAGTGGGAGAGGAACAGCTGTTAATGGGTCTCAGCTATAATTGTTCGTAAGATATCCGAATGCAGCGGTCATACATGTCCAAGGGACGAAGGGTTGAAATACTGACGTCACACTACTGGAAGGTGATGGTCAAACTGGTCTTCGGGGTTGTTAAAAAGTAAGAAAGCGGGTGAAAAGAGGGGTAGCTGGGTAAAATCCCGTCATATTTCACTTCCTAAAGAAGACAAGAATACCCCCTCATGCTTTCAACTGGACTCCACATTTTTTTATATCATACAACAGAACTATAGTGGTCAAACTGGTCTTGTATCGACCACATGATAAAACCTTTTACGAATTCAAATACACGTTAGGTATATATACTGTATGTTGCCTACAGAAAGGAAAATGAACGGGCCCGGCTTAGAAAAATTGTAACTGGACTTAGTGGTCAAACGAGTCTTGAAGGTAAAAAGGGATAGAAATATTAAAAGGAGGGTCATATATGGGTTCACCGCTCCACACTTACTCTGAAGCAAGAGTGGCGTATGCCAGTGTTAAAAGACGACGCTACTTGTACGTAAAATTCCTGTAAGAATTACTTTAACAGGACATGGTCTAGAAGTCTCCTGTTCCTGTAGAATTCAAAGATTCTTGACAGTGTTTACAAATGTTTACGGTTAGACTGAGTTATGTTCATAGTTCAATCTGTGGGATGCCAAAATGTCAAGATCGTGTCCAATACCAGGTTTTGTTGAATCGTAGGATTCTGTTATTATTCACCATAGCCATTATATTAGGCAGTTTATTTGTTAGCCCTGGTATGAGAGAGATAAATTGACAGTGTGTCATTCATTTATTCAATTAATCAGATTCCTCAAGAATTAACGTAATGGATCTTCCAAGTTATGGTTATAAAGTTGGTTGCCTTGTGGTATGTAGCATCGTACAGTCCAGTTATTCTAATGAAGAAAGAACTAAGGTCTTCTGAGTAGTCGGTCATTATCTACCAGATTTACCGGATTACATTCCAGGAGACAGCCATCTTCACATCGTCGCCATGAAAATCTAAACTCTCACAAAGTTATAAGAAGTTTATATAGTGGATAAACACGCATTTCAGTTAATAAATGTCATTTCATGTGGAATATAACTTGTTCCGTTGTTTCACTGAAGCATGTTTTGTAGTAAAACTGGACTACGTAATGTCCTCTCACACACACTCTTTGTAATCTGCACTGGACTTCAGTGGTCAAACAAGTCTTGGGACAGTACCTACCTCAAAACTAGTTTCTTCCTTTATTATCAAACGTACAAATAAAAACACGAAACTTTTTTATCATCCATTTACTAGTATTGCTCTAACTCGCCCAGATGGACTTCCCCCCCGCCCCTGCCAAAGAGTGGTTTCTTTTTATAAACATTACACGTGTGTGCGTGTACGCTCTGACCAGACAATCAGTTTCCAATCGGATCTTCTCGTGTGCGTAAGTGCGTATCGTGAAAGTGCTAAGAGACTAAAGTGAAGTTGAAGTGACCAATTGTTGTGATGTGCGGAACCCAAGTGACATAGCAAGATTTTTATTTATTCATGCAAGAACAAATTTAGATCAGAGGCTAAAAATAAGTACTTATATGTAATATAGAGAGATTTTAAATATTTGTGGGTGTTTTATTCAGAGAAGTTTTTTCCAGGGAGTCGTGTGATTAGACCCCACTTGAATGTATTAGAAGGCACAAATGCTTTTTTCGTAAAATTCGGTCGTAACAGTAAACTTTCGTGATGAACGTACTAGTTAATATGTCACCAGAACAGGTTATTTTTAATTCCGGGTAACGAATGTAGAAATTAAGAATTTCATATCTCAAATTACACCATAGAGGCTACTTCAATTATTGATAAATACACCAAATTAAAACAAGATTTACAGTATTATTAACTTAAAGAACAAGTAAGTGTAGATTGATGATTAATATCAAAATAAAATAGATATTTTTTGGGATGTATCGCAGTATATTCTGGCAGACATTTACCAACTTTTCAGAGGTCCTTACTTCCTCCGTCATCATGGCGATGACCGAGTTATTCAAACACTGAAACGCTGGTAAATTTCTACCAGACTACACGGCCCTAAAACCCGGAACACAGCCATCTTCAGACTCAGTGTCTCAAATGGTACTAATTATCAAAATAGGTCTTGGAGAAATGTTGTGTGTCATATTCAGATAGCCCAAATTGTAATAAATTTGTGGGAATGATAAAAACACATAATTTTCTAGCCGTATTAATAAATACAAACATTTGAAAAATTCACGGGCACCATGAATTACTAGTGCAGTAAATTTTTACAGTGACTAACAGTGCTACTGTCCACTTAAAGAAATACAACGTTTAATTTTTTAATGTCCAGTACACGTAATATGTCAGGATCCAGTAGTTACAAGGCCTGCAGCCGAGTACCAAACTTTGTGGACGGATATTTAGAATTTCTTCTTCGTACTTGTTCAAATCTCGGTCCGGAAATTGGCTATCATGAGATTATTCTCGCAATGTTGGTAACCACCTACTAGACAAGCTGTTTTATCGTCAAATGCCTGAACTATTTAAATTTGGCCGGACACATTTTTTACATAATTTCCAGCCCAATAGGGCTGGAAATTAAGAGAGCTGTCTCGTGCCTAACACGGAAAGGGCCTTTATCGCGTAGTTATAGATGAAATGAGATATTAAAATAGAATTTATGGAACATTTAGTTGTGAACAGAATGATACTGGGAAATTCACTTGTGCTACCATTTTGATCTCGCTTTATGCAACAAGAAGCCGTGTAATGTGCGTAATTATGACGCAGTGATGTATGGAAGTCACTGGAGCTCAACTCACACAGGAGTGGGTCCGGATGTGTCCGTCTGTCTGTAGGCAAAACCATGCTATTAAGTGGTGTTAGCTTCAGCGTGTGGCCAATAGGATTTTTCAATTTCTATATAGAAAATATTACGTCACTAAAAGAATTAAACAAACAAAGGAAAAAAGAAGAAGTTTGGAAGTCCACAATGGCTCGTTAGTCATGTGACTAGGTTGATGGAACGGGAGTTGAGGGGGTGGGGGCGGGGGCGGGTTGTTTAAATGGCGATTGACTTAATCTAAGTTACATCCATTTTGAAATGTAAAAACTTCATCTGCATTTGCATAGTTAACAAAGTGTTAAATTTGTAAATAAACATGGTTCAGGGACTCTGCTGGAAAAAGCGCCTGCGCGCTGCGAGGCGTGGGACAGACAGTCCGCAGTGGCTGCGTCTTCCACCCCCCACCCCACCTTGCAGTTTTTACTCAGCGTTGGTGTCATGGTGGCTTCAACACAGGAAAAATAGGCCTACATATTTAAAATTGTATTAAAAATGGAGCAGTCTTTTTAGAGTTCTACCTTCAAGTGTCACCCCAAGATTCCTACTGCGAGAATACAAGGCCTATATACGGTAAAAATTCGAATTTTGATAAATCATTTCTAAATTTTATTAAATGTTTATTGGTTCGAACCAATATGTGTTTTTTTCCCGACATACGGGGTTACAACTTACATTAATATCCACTCATATCAAATGTTCTCTTCCCTAGCGATTTTGTCTTAAATATTTAGTAATTTTTTAGTTGTGTCATACTTATCTGCACTGATATAGGCTTACATCAATTATTATCGTCATCTGAAATTTAATTTATAAAGGAATCTGCAGGTTACACACCACGTGACCTTAAGTAAAACTAAGACTTTTAAAAGAATAAAGAAAAAATATCAGCAGATCATAAATTTACACAAAACTTCCGAATTTTATTGGAAATGATATGGAAAGAAAATCTTATTACAGCATATGCAGGCCAGTCTTAAGGGAAAGTAAAGTTAGGATGACCACTTATGAATTGCATAAAACCTTAACAGGCCACATAATGTAATTCCTGACAGGATGATAATGATAATGATGATGATGATACCAATAATGCTTTACCTGTGTCTTGGCGCTACGCATTCTGGGCGGATTAGTCGAAGGACTTCGTTGCAAGGACCGTGACATATTTGTTAATTTGACAAAGGAAATTGATAAACAACATTTAAATTAGTGAATACACGTTTAATTAAGGAAGGAAGAAATAAGGAAAGTTCAAAGCAAGAAAATTACTCTAAAAAGAGAGAGAGAAAGTTAAACAGTATGATACAACAGACGTTTTATTGATTCTAAACATTCGTCTTGGAAAAACAAGTAGTTCCTCAGTATTTACATTCGTCCACGTGACTTGAGCCTTGCCGTCTTACACGACAGCTACGACGCTGTGAATTCCGCGTCGGTTAGTCGCAGCGTGGCGTGACAGTCTCGTGGCCTGTTCGTCGCATCGAACAACGAAAACTGATGCGCCTGGCGTTGGCTTCTTGCATAACATCAAGACGCAGCAGCACATCATATTAACTAAATTTCGTACGTCCGTTTTACGCGTAGTGACTCAGTGGTTCTGCAGTATTTTGCAAATAATTTTATTGCAATACGGACATAACCACAGACCCAGTTCTAAAAATTTTACTCCATAGAAAATGTTTCTGTGCATATGCGTGTACTGTCACTGATCAGTCCATATGTTTCCGAGCCTGCCTTAAGTTTAAATTTGCTGGCTTCCATGAATATTTACCATTTTCCTTCCGCGGATACGGGAAATGTCAGAGACAGCGTCTCTTTTCAAGCAGGCTACTTGCTGTAATGAGCAAATAAAAGATGACGCCCCGGTGGTAAAGTTTTATGTGGGTGTGGTGAAGTGTGGAATGCTCCTAGTTTTGTAATCCTGTCCACCTTGTTCGGCCAACGCCCCTGGGGTTTAGGCAGCTGTACTTTTATGATCCATTACTGTTCGTAATATAAGCGCTTGGCATAGAAAACTGACCATAAAACGGTGGTTTCTTTCAAAGTTCAAAATTCCGTCCGAGTACTTAATATCAAACTTTTGTGTGCATTTTACTCTAATAATATCAGCGAAGAACATAAATTATGAAGTTTCAAAAATGTAATTTTCTCCATTCCTGTATATTTGACTTTACATTAACTCGAAAGGGTTTAAAATCTGTACTACTTAAATTATTTTCAAGGTAAATGACAAATTATATTATAAAGTTCGTCTATACGTGATTTTGACTAAATAAGTAGTCATATAAGAAGATAATATTGTATACATTTTTTAATTATCGTAATTATAAAACTATAGGTCTATATAATTCAATGTGAGAAGATTCTTGTCTCATGATAATAAATTAAATCTGTAATAGAACAGGCCTACTGAAATTAGCGAGACTTCAAGACCTTATATTGTTAATATTGTTCTTTATTTCTTAGGCTATTATTTATAAGAGTCAAAAATAGCACATGAGATTCAGAATAAATTCAATGGAAGCTTTGTCTTCAAACTGTGCTTTAATTTTTGGGTAATATCAGTTCCATCAGTCGGTAAGTTAGATTGCTTGTTTGTTTCCTTTGGTTATTTGATTTCTCAGTCAGTTGGTCGGCAAGTTCGTTTCATACTTAAGGTTTTTCGCTGATGTGAATATTTCGTTTGTGAAGATACACAATGAAAATAAAGGAAACAGGTTCCTCCTAACTGTTTATGAGAAGATTTTATGATATTACAAGTCTGTTTATTTATTTACATAGTTATGCAGTGAACTGATTGGATAGTTACTGACGTAGCTGTAAAAATATAACAATTTAAGCCTCGACTAGTTTCTGAGCAATTTTCTTCTTTGCGAGATCAGTAATGCGTTTAAGTTAATTACTTTTCTTAATAATTTGGGAAGGCTTGTGAAGGAAGCGGTTCCAACCTCCTGTAAGGCGTTATCGCAACATTTTTCTGGTAGAACTAAACAAAATAAGATACTCCATTTAGAATAGCTTGTCTTTCTTCCCAGAATTAAACCCGTGACCTCATAGAAACAAAGCAAAGTTCTAACCACTAAATCACTGCGTTTGATATTACATCTATTCAAAATGTCTGTGAAAGAAAAGCGAAAGTATTTTGAAAGGTGCATCAGAAAATATTTAGAAGGATGTTACAATGTCTTCCCAGGTGCAGTTCCAGAAGAATTTTCTGGAATGTCTGAGGAAAATCACAAAAGAACTCAATCAAGATATTCTGACTTCGGGCAGTTCATTTACTCCAAATATGATGTCAGTAAAATAATTTCTGTGAAAGTAAATCTCCTGGTAATGCACAGCTGCATACGACGTAGCAAATAAGTTACGCATTTCTTATGATCTGACTTTGATTACAGAAAACACTCCACATCCCACCCGCCATTTTAAGTCGCATTATTCCCGACTGTATTTAACAGGACGTAGCCTCCCCCCCCCAATTCGCGTCGTGTTCCGCCATTAGCGCGACGCTTCGCAGCCGTCATTCGGAGTCTGACTAATCAGACGCCAACATAATTATGAAGGAAACAAGAATTGCGTTAAATATTTTGGTTGCAATACCTCAAAGACAAATATCTGTGGGAATGTGTTTAAAATTAAAAGATCAAATTAAGGTGAATTCTGAAGACATTGTTTTCGAGAATATAAACAGGATTAAACTAGCTAAAGGAGCCTTATTCCATGGACTTAGTAAATTAGTGAACTACTTCGTTAGTTGGTTAGTGAGATACTAGGTTCTTTCTTTAATTCATTAGTTACTTAATGGAGAATATTGTATTTCGGTTTTCTAAATAATTACTATCGTACTTTGGTCATATAAATCCATTTTACAAGTCAAATAATAATGGCTGTTACAATAAAAGACAACAAAAATTTATTTTTATAACTACGAGTAACTATTTAGAAGAAAAGGCCTTCAAGTAAGAAAATGTTTGGAGGCCTCTTAGGTCTAATTCATGACGAGAGACATAGGTGCTTGGGTTAATTAAGCAACGTGATTATGACTATTT